GAGACTTAAAGCTCTTCAACCAGTCTTTCATTCGTTCTTTGTAAGTTCCTATCTAACTACTAAACTACTAATACGTATTCATTTTTATTTATTTTTAATTTATTTCTCTTGTAGAAAATAATGCTCCACGCGAAACGAACTTTATCATTATCACACTGTGTGGCAGCTACCTCAAGCGAATACCCAGTTGCAACAAAGCCTTAAAAACTTTTCTGCTGTGTAATTTAAAATATCAATTTTTAGCTACTAAGTGTATATTTTGTACTAAATTTGATTTTTGCAATGAAAATTTTTGACACGTTATATATTCAAATCACATTAAAATCTTAAAGGGTTAATCTTGCTATCAACTAGTAATGCATAATTAAGATTTTTTTTTTTTTTTTTTTGCGCAGTTTGATGAAACTTTTATTTAATAAAACTCAGTGTTTTTATGAAATAATTTTAAAAATAATAAGCACTTTAAATATTAAAAAAATTAAATTTATTGCATCAAATATTTTACTACGATAGAGAAAAATAAAAAAAAAACTCTAAACTTTTTTGTTTTTTAAAATAATTTTTATTCCTATTTCGTTGAACAGGAGGCTTATTATGTAGCTGTAATCTATGAACCCTTGCTTTGCTAATCCTTTCAATACTTCAAACTTTAATACGTTTTAAGGTTTAATATTTTTAAATCTATTTCATAAAAGTCAATTCAATCTAAGTAAGACAAATGAAAGCTCTATAATAAATTATTTATTTCAGAATAACAAAATTTTTCATTTGAAGAAAATTATCGTTTGCATCTGAATGTTGAATTTTTTTTCATTGAAAATTTAAATTCAAAAATACAATTAATTAACTAAATTGAAATAAAAAGAATTAATTGTTTCTTAGAAAGAATATGATCTCCAACACATTTACCTCAGTAACCAATTAAAGAGAACTTCGATTTTTAAGACTGATTCAGAAAAAGCAAAAACACTAGTCACAATTATCAGATGCGGTCATGGAATAATGACAAAAAGAATGGAATAACAAAAGATAGGAAATGCTAAAACATTCAGTAATATCATCCAATATGTGAAAATTCCTTTCGGGAGAATGCAGAAAAGAATTCTCTTGGTGTTTTTACTAACAAAAACAATAGTGCGTCACAATAAAATGCAATCGTGACTTAAATAAAGGAGAACTTAGCCTTGAAATTGCAATAAAAGGATCATTTCAAATATCCGCGGTTATTGCAAAATTTCATACATTCATGTAAAGTTGCAAAAATGACGTCTTTTATCGTAAACCACATGAGAGTTTCGAAAAAACTCAAAGGATGCATAAATTTAGTCAAACTGTCTAACAGGATAATAAAAAGTATTCATATAAAAGATAGACAAAAATTATTTAGTAAGGTTAATGTTCTGATTATCTGAAATCTGATAACACTACACTAATTTTTATGTTATTTCTCATGAATGACGCATGGAATAATCAGTTATTCTAAATTTTTATTTGTATAAAGAACAAACATAACAGAATAGTAGAAACCTAAAACCAATTTGTAATGTTGTGAAACTACTAAATACAAGTACATTTAAATTCTACGGTAATTATTTTAATTTTCACTTTTAAATTAATCAAATAAAGCACAAGTTAATAATTAAAATGATAAAATTTACCCACCTTATTAGATATTTACTTTTTTATCTTATAATTTGCTTTGTTTTTTATGAGTTTTAAATATTTTTAAATTTAAATAACAATATGTCAACTTTTATTGGTTATATAAAAAAGACAACTTTGCTTGAAAAACAGAAAATTGTTATTTATTTGTATAGATAAATCCCTTCCAGTCGCGCGCGCGTCGCGAGCTTATTATTCATCACAAATGAATGTTGTTAAAATGTATTAAAGCAATATAAATGTTAAGTAGTATATTTAAATAATCATATTGGAATTTTCAACAAAAGACTATTATTTGTTTTAATTTTTCTATCTTTTTCATATATTTTCATTACAAATTAATGTAATTAAAATATATTAATTTAATATCAAATTTACGTTATAATTCATGAATTTAAATTACCATGTATGAATCTACTGAGAAAAACATAATAGTTTGTGTTTCTCAAAGGAATGTTTGTTATTCAATATAAAACATTTTTGTTTACAACTCACCACAGGGTTTTTTCTTATTTAACCCCTTAACTGGCTTACCCGTACACCTTACGGGATATCGAAGGCTGGCTATAACAGATTTCCCCGTACATTTTAAGGGCACTGATATTTTCTTCTTTCTATCTTTGATTTGTACATATTTTTAATTTTATGGTGAGATTATTAGTGCTAAGGTTCTAAAGAGATATAGTTTTGTCCATGATACTGAAATACTTCTCATCCGGGATTTTCTTTCCGGGTAAGGCAGGAATTTTGATTCCTGAAAATATTCAGTAAAGAACAACGGAAACGGGAAAGTAATCCAAAAACTCCTATATTATCACTGTCCCCATTTCAATGTAAGATTCTGTACTTCAACATGCTTCAAATTGTGTGTGCATATATGAATGAACACACACATACAATCCTCAACCCTTTGAAAAAGAAGTACGAACGTGGAACTTTTTCTAAGTATGAGAGAAATTCTTTTAAAATATACATGAAATATTCTTCTTATAGCATGTAGAGTGTACAAATAAAAAGTAGATATTTAGGGGGTTTTGTGTTCTGCAATTATAAAATAAAAAATAGTGTGAAAACTTTAAAATTTAAATAAATTTCTTCCATTTTTGCATTGGGTTAAGTATTATGCTTAGTTATACGCAATACAAAATGTGCCTTTATTTGGAACATTTTGGGCAAAACAATTGACCTCTTCAGGGGTAAAACAAATTACAAACACTGTAAAACGTACCACAGCTCAATACCAAGCGCCACAAAGTGTTTTCAAATGGTAGTATAATCTAAATTATTAAAATATTCAAATATTTTATATCATTCAAAAAACATTTAAATTTGATAATAAAATTAATGATCAATGTTTGTTTTTTAAGTAAATTTCGAATAACGATTGCTTCTCATTTACATATGCCATCTGCTGGAACAAAAGATTTTGTTTACATTTTAAATTAATCATAAGGTCTGAATATCAGGATAATAAGTAAGTAAAATCTGACAAACATACGGTATGATTAATTCCTTACGAATGCACTTTCTGCTCATCAGAGCCTTCTGCAGAGGCGTTTTGAGGCATGAGCCAACTGGACCCAAGCTTAAGGTCTTGGAAGGGGAAGGGGGACTTGCCTTGTTTCCAACTCGTACCAAATAAGATCATGGTTTGACCAACTGCCAACAGTTGTAAACCTGCATCATTGCCATATCATTTTCCTTGTCTAGGCTTAAGCTTATTACTATACACCATCATTAATCAGCCGAAAAGTGACAGTTGGTCGAGTGGTTTTATGCCTAGATTTCTGAGAATATAAGTTACGAACATTTATTTATTACAATTTATCGATTGTATGTGTTCTTGACAACCTTATGCTATATACTGTCCACTTCAGAGGTCTTCAACCTGGATTCCCTGGAACTTTGATAGAGTTCCGCAAATGATCACTATTTACTTAACCAAAGTGCCAAAATTTTAGTAAAATTTTAATTTTAACAAAACATTAAATTTTTAAGGGCAAGTTTGCTTATAAAAATAAATGTAAGTAAATATATTATGAATAAAAAAGCAAATCTTAGATATCATAAAAGTCACGTATTTCAAGGATAAATCGATAAATCAGAAAGTTGCCAATGAAGAAGGAACAAGTTATGAACATATTTGACGCGTTAAAGTTTAAATTTAAGCAGGAGAACAGCTCCTTAATTTTTAATTAAAAATTTACTAAATATGTAGAAGTTTCTCCCACAGCTATAAACATTTTAATGTCATTCTTGAACAATGTATTTAAATTAAAAAATATTTCTCAACGTATGTGGCAAACTAAATCAAAAATATGGAATCAAACTAATGCAGTGTATGAAATACGACTGAAGTTAACATGCTTAGACTTTGGTCGCTTGAGTAAAAAAATACAAACATGTATATCGAGTATTAAATACAATGAAAAAGTAGATGGCACCTGAAGCACGAATTCATGAGTATACATCAATATATTAAGTTAAAAAATTTGAATACAAAATGTAGTATTTTTTTAATGTCTTTACTTAATTACATGTTGATTTACTAAAAATATTATTGTAAGATACATTCTTCTACAGCTCTTTTGGATGGTATTCCTCAGAAACAACTTATGGTTTCAAGGGTTCCGTATGTCGACAAAGTTTATGGACCATTGCATTGGAGTCTAGGGCCTTAAGAGAATTCTAATCTCACTGCCCTGCGTTGGTTAGAGTCTTAGAGTGCATTCATCTCTTTTATGAATCGATCTTCTGATGTAAAAACTGAATTAAAATCAATCATTTTTCAATTCTTACTATTACTCACTCTCTACCTACACACACACACACACATATATATATATATATTGTTTAAATTTTCAATCGTTAATAAAATACTTTCTATTCATCCATTCAAGTTCAAATACATTTTTAAAACTTATAGTGGATGACACTTGATATTAATGTAGTTTTTTCAAATAATAATTCATTAATTAAACTAAAAATTAATAAATAGTAACAAATAAAAATAATAGTCCAACAGAGCATGTATATAAAGGAAAATCGTTCATTGTGTCCCTGTAGCGCAATGTATAGCGCGTTGGGTGAGTGAGTGAGTGAATATTAACGTCCCACTGTTCAGCTACACGAGGGCTTTTGGGACGGTTCGCGTAATTTTGAACCATGGTCAAGTGACGCGGACGACACCTGAGCTGGCACCCCCTCTCCTAACTACCACACCACACCAACGGGAGGACGTTTGAGCTCTCGACAGATTTAACGTGCATCGCTCCCCTACACGGCGGATCTTTAGTGGTACTAGGATCGAACCCATGACAAACTAGCCATGATCCGATGCCTAGACCACTCGGCCACCGCGGCCTATAGCGCGTTGGACTTCTAATCCAAAGGTCGTGGGTTTGAATCCCACCTGGGAAGGCCTAATTTCTGAGAATAGGATTTCTTTTTTACTATTTATTTTATTAGAATAATTAAATTAATGAATAAATAGTAATAAACAAAAAAATAGCCCAACACCATACATAGAAAGGAAAATGGAAAATAAAGCAGAAAAACGACTGGACTGACTGACTAATCACGATATCTTCGGAATTATTCAACTTACAGACTTGAAATTTGGTAGACATGTTCCTTTCATAGAGTAGAGATTCGCTAAGAACGGATTTTTTTTGTGAAATTCGAAGCGCAAGGGACGTTACGGGGGTCGAGGGGCGTTATAAGTAATTGTTTCCATTTTTACACTACTCAACGTACAATCTTGAAATTGGGTAAGCAGATTCCTTTCATAGAGTAGAGATCCGCTACAAAATGGGTTTTGGGAAAATAGCCCCCCAAATGGTGTTGAGGGGAATAAGGGGCGTAAAAGGTAAATACTTTCGTTTTTAAAATACTTGACCTACTGGCTTGAAAATTGGTAGGCGTAATTCTTTCATGGAGTTAATATCCGCTACAAAATGGGTTTTGGGAAAATTGACACCCAAGTTGTGTTGAGGGGGGTTAAGGGGCGTAAAAGATAAATATTTTCGTTTTTAAAATACTTGACCTACTGGCTTGAAAATTGGTAGGCGTAATTCTTTCATGGAGTTAATATCCGCTACAAAATGGGTTTTGGGAAAATTGACACCCAAGTTGTGTTGAGGGGGGTTAAGGGGCGTAAAAGATAAATATTTTCGTTTTTAAAGTGCTTGATCTTCTGGCTTGAAAATTGGTAGGCATAGTTCTTTCATGGAGTTAATATCCGCTACAAAATGGGTTTTAGGAAAATTGACCCCCAAAGGGGTTAAGGGGAGATATAAATAATTATTCCGATTTTTAAACTATTAGATGCATAGTCTTGAAAATTGGTAAGCAGGTTCCTCTCATAGTGTAGAGATACGCCACAAATTGGGTTTCGTGAAAATAGACCCCCAAGGGCGTTATAGATAAGTACTTTTATATTTTTAAACTCCTGGAAGCACAGTCTTTAAATATGATAAACAGAATCCTTTTATGGGGTAAAGATCCAATATATAATGTGCTTTGTGAAAATCAATCCCCCAGGCGGCGTTGCGGGGTCTCAAGGGGCGCTTAGACTCGCAGTCTTCAAATTTGTAGAGCAGATTCTTTTCATAGAGTAGAGATCCGCTACAAAATGGGTTTTGTGAAAACAGACCCCCAGGTTTCGTTGTGGGGGCTCAAGGGTATAGATAATTATTCCCATTTTTAAACTATTAGACGTACAGTCTTGAAATTTGGTAAGCATATTCCTTTCGTTGAGAACAGATCCGCTATAAAATGGGTCTTGCGAAAATTAACCCCAAATTTCATTTCGGAGGTTAAGGGCGTAATAGATAAATATTTCCGTTTTTAAACTATTCGATCTACCTGCTAGAAAATTGGTAGGCATGTTCCTTTCATGGAATAGAGTTCCTCAAACAAAGAGTAAAACAAAATCGACACCTAAGGAGGGTTGCAAAGGGTGAAGGGGAGTTAGAGGGAAAAAATTCTGTTTTAGAATTGTTAAACCTGTGTACTTGAAATTTGTTAAACATGTTCCTTTTGTTGAATAGGGATCCACTAAGAATGCCTTTGACAGGAATCAACTCCTGGGGAGCAAGGGGTTACTGGAGCATGTTGACAAAAAATTTCTTTTTTCGAACTACAAGAACTATATTAATGGAATTTGGTTTACATTTTTCTTTTGTTGAATTTAAATCCGCTAAGAACGGTTTTTGGGAGAACGACTCTCAACGGAATTACGAGGTGGGGGGGGGCGGTTATTGATAGTAAAAATTTTGTTTTTACCCTATTAGATTTAGATTTGAAATTTCGCTTCCATGTTTATTTTATGGAGTAGAGATCCACCTAAAATTGGTTTTGCGGAAATCCTCTTGTTATAGGGTTACGAAAGTGTAAACATCATTCTATACTCAATTTTAGAGAATATTAGATAATACAAATTAGTAGTTCTGTCCTTTTTTTTTTTTATCAAGAGGCGAGAGTTACAGGTCTAAGTATATTTTTCAATACCATAGAATTCTTAATGCTAGGACATAGATATCAATATTTTATATATATAAACAGATATATTTATAAAACATCATGAAATACCCAGCGAAGCGGGAGGGTAACGGCTAGTATATATATGTAACTGTTTAATAAAAGTAGCTAAAATAAAAATCTTTGTTGACCTAAGTAGGAATTGACTTAAATGTTTTCTATATTACTTCTTTCAAATTATTACACGTAATAATAAAAATCTAAGTTATTATTTCAAAAAATGCATAGCTAATGTTTTCTAAATTACATCATATTACAATACAAATAATACCTTCGGGCATTTTAAGATTCATCACCTTTGGTCAACATCTTTTTTATTACACATACACAATAAGATATCAAGTTTTAATAACATTAATAAAAAAAATCAAGCACCTTTCCATTGCTGCAATAGAATACTGATCACATCTTAAGCACTCTCACTTTAAAGAACAGTAGGTCTCTGGGTATTAATCATTTTTCTAAGCTATGTATCTCTTGTTCAATGAACTTAACTCAACGCCTGAAGAGCATCTTTTAGGTAGCAGTAAAAAAGCACGACCTCAGCTAAGGATTGATTCTAGAGGATGAAAAAATCACGATTCCGTGCTCATTTTGGTCTGTAATATGTGTGACAAAAGAATTTTATTATGAGAAACAGGATCACTTTCATACATTTCCGAATCATTAAATCTCCGCTTGGTTTTATTCTCACCTTTCTTTTGCGAACTTCTTTTTGTCGTAACTATTTCTTAATTCTCTCCAATGGCTTTCCTCCTTCGTTGTATATTATTTCTATACTTTGATGCCTTAGTTAAATATCTTATTTGTTGCTATATAATGTGATAAAAAATTACGTTGAACGTTAAAATGCTACTAATAAAATACTGAAAATACATGATATACTTCTGATTGAACTTTTATAAACTTTATGTAGAATTTATTTTAAAACTCGTTTATTTCAATAATCAGTTTTAGGTGTTTTACTCTATACCAATAAAATCTACTCCAGTGTAAAAACATTTCACGTATTGAAGCTAAGGACAAAATCTGCATAGTACAATGAACCAATGTAATTAGTAGTTTTAATACAATATTTAGCGAATAGTATTTCGTATAAGTAATTAGTAATTAAAAAGGAAAAATACTATGTCATTGATTTTCTATCGCTATATGTATATCCTTTTTTGTTATATTTCTCTTTCTTATTATCAGTTACAAATTATTTTATGATTTATTATTTGCAATAAGCCATGTACGTAGACTGAAAACTATGTCATAATATTTTCTGAATTAAGAACAAAAATATGATTGCATAACAACTAATAAAATACTGAGGTTAGTTACACATGTAATTATTAATTAATTTATACACAGTTTTATTACTTAATATATTGTATTGCATAAAATCATTTTAACTAATAATTTTATTTCGACATTACAGTATGGCTGGCCTAACAATAGGGTTATTATAAAAAAAACCTTACGTAACTTCTTCTTAAGATAAATTGCCTTAGATATATATATATACAATACCGTATTTGTAAAAGAAAATGGAACCCTATCAGTTCTTAAGAAAATTTTAATTCTATTTAATTTGAATAAAATATTTTTATAAAGTACACAATTTATAAAATTTCATTCAAGATTTTTTTGGAAAAATTGTGACTATTTTAAAGATTCCTGTATACAATTAAAGTTCACCCATAACCAAAGAAGCAACATAAAAAAATTATTTTTCTATAGTTTTTCTTTTAAAAAAAATGCTTAAATTTTTCTAAAACTTTGGAGAAGTAAATTATCATAATTCTTTTTTGTACTTCTTTGCTTTGCAACACTTGTAACATTATAATAATTTACATTTAATCATCGTAAAGCTAATTAATTACAGAAAAAATGGTTCAAGATTTAAAGAAATTGAAATTTTTGAAATTCTTCACACATTTTGTTAAAAATCTCAATTCCGATCCTCGTTCTATTTCAGCTCATTTAAAATTACGCACTTAAAAATAAGTTTATAAATAATTATACTCAAAGCTAAAGTTTGGAACTATTGTAAATTTGGAATTCAGCGTGTAGAATTCCAAACTTTCCTCTGAATTATCCACATAGCAGAAATTGTGTTAACATTTTTGTTTCATCTCAGCCTTTCATATTACGTAGCAGAGTCTATAATCAACCTACACGGCTTAGTTATTTGCCAAAACTTTATACACTCCAATTAATTTCTGATATTTTAATTTTCTTAAAATTTAAACACATTTCCCTTTTCTTTTACTATTTATTCGATTTAAATGTCTTTGAAATTCTACGTTAGAATCTGTAACTTACAATTAGGTTAAAATGCGGAACACCAATGCGTTATAAGGTGTGACATTTCCTGACGCGAAAGTAAACAATGACAAATAGTAAGCGTGACACTTTACCAGATAAACATATTTTCTCGAAGTAGCTTGTGGAAGAAGGCGGCGATGAGATAGCGACATCACTACGGCGTCCTTCTGACGTCATCGTAGATTTCATGCAATTCTGTGCTGTGTAACTGAGCAACATCGAATTGCAATCCGCCAGAGCTCGGCATCGGTTCAAACATTCTTTTGTAATAGAGGCTTCTCCTGGAGAGCCCTTGTAGAGGGCATTCAAACGGGCGCTTCTCAGAGACGCCCCAGCAACTTTTTCGAAAGATGTTGAACCCAGCGAGCATTGACCTGTTTTATTAAAAAGAAATTTTATTTCATTATTGTGTATCATATTAAATTATCAGTGACAGAACCATTGTGGTACTTCCGTATTATCGCAACAATCGCCAACGTTCAAGATAACTCGCCAAGTTGGCAACCCCTATTTCGCATGTGTCGTATGCTCTGAATTGTGGTAATCCTGTGTTTCATATCATATA